TGCAGTTTGAGGTCAGCACGTATAGGGACTTATATAGGTCCTTTGAACTGTTTTGTAAAGTTGAGAGTTAAAATTTATTTTTATTCTGTAATTTGAAGTAGCAGGTGAATTTGTGTGTCTTTCCCAGCAGCTGCTGTTAACCCTATTTTGTCCATTCTCAAAGTTTTATTAGGTTCTAACTCAACTGTGAGTATGAGATTGTCATTTACAGACATTTTCTTGTTCTGACACTTCATTGTTTGCTGTTTGTTTCATGTATGTTCTTTCTTTTTTCCATAAGTTTACTATTTACTGTGTGGATCTGAGATGCATATGCTATTTTAAAACTTTATGTAATAGCAGGGCTTATAAAATCAGGTACTTAAAAAAAAATTGTCAGGAGAAGTAGCAATCTAATAGGTTAAAAGGAGTCCATGCAAAGGGAGAATATACATGCTCATTTCAGTTAGCCTAATAGCTGCAGATTGCTGCCTTATGGGAATGTGAGTTTGATACTCTCTAAACAAAATAATCCCATGGGTGCTACTGGCCTGGTCTTTCAGGTCACTTTTAAATTATGGCATCATTTGAACACAAAAAAAAATGGCATAATAGTAGCTGGACATGATAGTAAATACCTGTAATCCCAGCACTTGGGAGGCTGAAGCAGCATTGCTCCAAATTCACCACCAGCCTAGGCTACAAAGCAAGTTCAAGGCCAGCCTAAACTTCAGAGTGAAACCCTATCTCAAAAAGACAAACAAAGGCCATTTTATAAATACTTTTTGAGTTGAAAGATGCTTATTGCTTTTAATACAGGCTATCTTGGTTTTGAAGGACTGTCAAAATACTGTTTAACATGCTGCAATGGGATGTACATGAATGTTCTCATCTATTAAAGAATTTACCTTTTTTACATGATGATATAAAGAGATTAGCCTTTACTCTAGAATAAACAGACTTGAATATTGTGTCTTTATTCCTGGGCCCATGTAAAGTTTATTGGATCACCTTATAAATTAGAAACTGGTGATAATATGTTGTAGTAAGTAGCTGCTTATTCTGAGGATATTCAAAAGAATGATATATCTAGCTGTGGTGAGGCACACCTAAATACCAGCTACTAGGTTGGCTTAGCCAATAGGATTGAGAGTTCCAGGGCAGCTCTTGTAGCACGGAAACCTCATCTCAAACCAAATCAAAGAATCATATGAAACAGTGATACAGTGAAATGTTAGACTACTGAAATCCCTTACAGTTAAGGTGTCTGGGTTTTATTTCTTTAATTGTATTTCTTGAATATAATTTTTCATTTTTTTCTTCTCTACTCCTATCAAGCAATATTGTTAACATGTAATCTCAGTTCTTTGAAGCCTCTCTGGCTTCATCTATTTTATTCATATAGATAATGTCCTGATTTGAACTTTTTAAACTCATATTGGGATTTCTACACTGTGCTAGTCCCTGACTTTTATATATCCCATGTATAGCATATCTCTAGGTTTTTTTGGTTTTTGAGTTACACCTTGGTTCATAAAATATACTCTGATTAAAAGTAAGAACACACAACACTCCCCTTCCCACTAAAAAACTTGCAGTTGAATATTTTCTTGTAGGCTGTTTGGTGTAGAACTGTATATCCTCTCTTTTTCATGTTACATTTCTGAGCCTTTACAGTTTATACCTGCCTGCTCTCTACTTTTCTCGGGAGCCATGTTTCATTCCCTTTCTTTTATGCCAGGGCCAGGGATATGGCTCAGTAGAATAAGTGCTTCCCTGGCAAGCACAAGGGCCTGAGTTCAATCCCCAGTTCCACCAAAAAAAAAGAAAGAAAGAATTCTTTTATGCCATTTCTCTAATGGGAATGACCTTTCTTCTTCTTCTTCTTCTTCTTCTTCTTCTTCTTTTTTTTTTTTAACAGGTGAATTGACTGTGGACCTTTCTTCTTTATGCCCTATATAATTACTCTTTTACTGTTCTGTAGATACTTTACTCTTTAGGATTTATTACCGCACTACTTTTTTTTTTTAAAATTTATGTGTTTGGTACAGGGTCTTACTACACAGTTTAGACTCATAGTGATCCTCCTGTTTTCAGTCTCCCCAGCACTGGGATTATAGATGCGAGCCACCACACCTGGACCGGGTTGCTGGCTCAATGTACTCCAGGGGCGGGGCCTGCCAGGAATGTGGGACCAGGGATCGAACCAACCCTGGTCCCTCTGCTTGCCTAAGCAGGTGCTTAGTCTGCTGAGCTATTTTACTGGCCCCTGGCTTAGAAGTTTCTATGGACAGTGATTTTGTTTTCTGCTATGTCTTTTGGCTTTGTGTAACACTATACTTTTATGTAGTAGGCATTCAACAAATATTTCTGAACTTGATTGTTACTGTCTTTTCCCTCACTCATATTCTTTATATGGTAAAATGTAAGAAACATGAAGTTCACCATTTTACTATTTTTAAGTGCAGTACTGTGATATCAAGCATGTTCTGTGCATCAATCACTCCTACCCATCTCTAGGACCATTCATCTTCTCCCATTGTAACCCCATTTCCATTGAACTCTGACTTCCCATTCTCTTTCTCCCAGCTCCTTGCAACAGTATTTTTCTTTGTCTTCATGAATTTGACTACACTAGGTCCTCGTATAGGAGGAGTAATAAAATGTTTGTCTTTTTTGCCACTGGCTTATTTCACTTATGTCTTCAAGGTTCACCAATATTGTAGTAGCATAGGTCAATTTTTTTCTTTTCATGGCTTAATAGTATTTAACTGTACTCCGTATTTTGCATATCCATGCATCAGTGGACACATGGATTGATTCCACCATTTCATTATTGTGAGTATACTGCTATAACATCAGAATACAAATAAAATTCTCTTGGGTTATACACAGAAGTAGAATTATTGGATCATATGGAAATGCCACATTTATATAAGAATCACCGTACTATTTTTCTATAGTGACTGCCATTTACATCTGCAAAGCAACACAGAGGGGGTTCAGTTGTTCTACGTCCTTGCCAATATTTTGTTCTGTCCTTTCCTTTCTCTTCCCCTTCTTGTTCACCTCACCTCTCTTTTTCCCTTTTCCTTTCCTCATTTACTTTCTCCTTTCTTCCTTTTATTTTTGCCATTCTGTAGCACATGAAATGGTATATCTTTATGGTTTCAATTTATATTTTCCTAATGAACAGTGATGTTGAGTATCTTTTCATAACCTCATTGGCCATTTGTATACCTTCTTTTGAGAAATGTTTATTCAATTCCTCAGCCCATTTAATAGATGAGATCGTTTATGGTTTTGTTGTTCAGTTGTATGAGTTCTTTATGCTGTTAATTGCTTCTTACATGATTTGTAAGTATATTCTCCATCTATGGATCTGTGAATTTCCTGTCACAGGTGTTCTTTTGTTGTTTTTTTTTTAATGCATTTGTTACAGGGTCTCACTGTGCAGCTCGAACGCATAGTGATCCTTCTCTTTCAGCTTCCCTAGTGCTAGGATTACTACACCACCACACCCTGTCTTGGTGGCTGGCTTAGTGCACCCAGGGGCACTTCCTGCAAGGCATTTGGTGCTGGGAATCAGAACCCCCCAGCCCTTGTGCTTGTCTAAGCAGGCATATAGTCTGCTGAGCTATCTCGCTGACCCACAGTGTTTTTTAAAAAGTTAGGTTCTAAATGTAACTGTAGCTACTGTAGTTCTAAATGTAATTTGTACTATTACCACCTCTGTCTTATTTATGAATTAAGGAAAGTGGGCACAAATTAATGTACATTGAGAGAGAGGGAGAGCAAGAGAGGGATGGATGGAGGGAAGGAGGGAGAGAGAGAGAGAGCGAGAGAGCACACAAGCTACCAAAAGCCAAGTGAAAGACGGAGGAAACAGACATCTATCTTATAAAAAGTCAAAGAATTCTGAATCCTGAAAGGGAAGATGTTTGGGTGCTATACCTATGGATATATTTTTGAGAGCTCATGATTATAGCTTACATTAGGATTGCCCAAAAGCAATTTATCCCTCATCTCACCCATTATGTTGATTTACTACTTATTTATTGAACTGCAGTTAGCTATATGTTCTGAATCACTTTACTTTGTAAAATTTATGTCATTGCTGTTTGCCTCCTTTTTGTAATGTTATGAAGAAATAAAAATTATAATAGTATTTATTGAGTGATAACATTTCAGTTTTATTGTTTCATATCTTTTCGAAGAAAATGATGTTTTAATGATGGCATTTTATTATGATCTATTCTGGATGACCAGATGAGAAGTTAATTTGTTACATACAGTGATTTTCTAAGAGCATTAGGGATTAATTGTCTTGATTAAAAAATGGTGACTGGATAGCTAGAAGAGAAAGGTTGAATTGAAGCTTTTTAATAGCCTGTGAATGTTGAGCTATCTGAATGTATTGTAATTACTACTGAATCATTAGTACTAAGTTTTTACTAAAAACTAGAATGGTATATTATCTTTCAAACGTTCTCATTTGGAATCATGACTCCTATATTTAAGATGAAGAGTAAAAATCTTGTCTCCATCAATTATGACTTCAAATTGCAGTAGTAATTTCATTTGTGCTTAAGTACTTTGGATTGAAGATGCAAATTGGACTGCGAGTCCATCTTGAACAATAGTACTTACTTAATATTGAAATAGAATATAAATCTGGCTTTCAGTACCAAAACTTGGGAATGTGTCTGTTTAACTAGGAAATGTCTTTAGTGAAAGGGTCAGAAATGTAAAGTCTTCTTTGGAGACTGATAAAAAATAATACATGAAATACAGAATGATGTGCTCAATAAGCTACAATTCAAATAGAGGAAATTTAATGGGAAATGATTGTATTAATAGCAGATGGACTTACTTCCTGAATTGCAGTTTTACTGGAAATCCTAGAACAGCTTAAATTGTTTTGAGATTTAAAGTCTGATAAAAGATAGATAAAAAGATTTGTTTATTTGATTTGCTGTTGTGATTCTTACTGTGTCTTTTGGATGTTTCATTTGTACTAGGCTATTTTTATGATTCCCACAAATCCACCACCAACATTCAGGAAGCCCGAACTTTGGTCTGATGATTTTACTGATTTTGTTAAAAAGTGCTTAGTGAAGAATCCTGAACAGAGAGCTACTGCAACACAACTTTTACAGGTCAGTGCTTGCAAAAGGAAAAATATTTTTTTTTTTTTCATATCTTCTTGCTTTCTGACACTGACCATTGCTGCTTTGAGTTTCATAATTCACTAAAACTTTAAACCTTCCAAAGAATTATGGATTGAGAAAACAATATATATGCACCACTCTTCTTTATGTTCTTTCTGTCATTTTCTGTTTCTCAGTCCAGTCTTCTTTTCCCATTTTTTTCTTCTCTCTTTGTTCTTGACTCATTTCCTCTAATACTGTTTTGAAACAAAATTTCCGAAGAATTCTCAGAAATGAGTTCTTATCTCTATAGTTGTTATTACTTTGGTTTTTCCATGTGTCCCTTCTGTCAGATTTTCTCCCTGGACTTTTTGCTATACTACAGGATGTAAATACAAGATCCCTGAACTTCATAAAGGATTGTTACATGTTACAAATGTCTGGAAGATTATCTAGTATCCTTGCTGTGAGCAGACTTTGTATCCAGCATGTCAGGAAGTTTTTTTGTTTTTGTCTTTGTTTGCTTTTTTTTTAAAGTCTGTCTTGAAATTCAATGCAGAAAGAAGTAATTTAATAGGATAATAAATATTTATGAAACTTTTCTCAACAGAATTCTCACAACTGAACTAATACAAGCATATCTCACATTAACAAATTTGATATTTATAAAATGTTTCTTTAAAGAAATGACAAAAGAATTCATAATGCTTTTGTAAAATAACTTTTCAACATAACAATAAAAATGATTTTTTGAGTTTGGAAACGATTCATAAATATATTGCTTTTTTATGAAAATTTAACTTTATATTGTTTCCATAGAAGCTAATTTTAGCAATATCTGTTTAATATTATATTCTTTGTATTCATTGACCCAGCTACATTTCTAGGAATTGTTTACAGAAAAACTTAACTGTGTGTGAAATAATAGATATGAAGAAATGACTCTAGACCATTATAATAGCAAGAGATTACAGAAAGCTTAGAAACAATATTTCTCAAGACATTGGAAAGCATCTAAGGTCAATCAAGGAGAGTAGGTGGAAAATACATCTACACACATAGATGTATATATACATATATCAGGGCTTATACAGTATTATGTTCAAAAAATTAAGAGACTATCTTCCACAGTAAGTAACTGAAAAATTAAAAAAAACAAGAATGGGATGGAAACTTTTTATTGAATGTTCTTTATGAGATTTGAGTTTTGCATTACACACAAGAATCACTTTTCAGAAGCAATAATTAGTGGTTATGATGTTAAAAATTTATGTTGTATGTATTTTTACAATAAAAATTGATTTTAAAATATAATGATATTCCAGTGGAATATTAATTGCATAAATTAAGGGCCTTAATATCTGAATTGTTTATATTAATATCTAAGTTATTCAATCCAAAGGAAAACACATAGGGCCGGCCCAATAGCTCAGCGGACTACAGCACCTGCGTAGGCAGGTTCAGGGACCAAGGTGCAATCCCTAGCACTACAAGGCCTGCTGGCCCTGCCCCCAGGGTGCACTGAGACTTCGAATGAGACTGGACATGGTCGTGCATGCCTGTCATCCCAGCGCTTGGGAGGCTGAAACAGAAGGATCACTATGAGTCCGATCTATGTAGTGAGACTCTGTAGATCCTGTACTAAATATATTTTTAAAAAGGAAAGAAACACACATACACACACACACACACACACACATACATGTGCATACACATACACGAAATAATTAAGATCCTTTGAGATTAAGTTGAAATCTTAGCTTTTAAAAGATGAGACAATTGTAATCATAGATATATTAAAAGATAAGGTTCAATTTCAGTCCAGTAGCCCTAGAGTTCCTGATTTGGTTAGGATCCATGTATTTTTTGAAGACAGAACATGGAAGTCAGAATATTAGGGAAACTGAGACTTACTGTCATTTGAACAGTCTGTGGGACTGGATGGAACAGGTAGTATCTCTGAACTTTTACAGTATTTGATTTACCCTACTTTTACCAGTAGAGGTGAGGTATAGAAGAAATTACCTCCCTTTCTGACCCTCTAATATAATTGCCTTTAAATACCTCCTTTATATACTTAAATTCAGAACCAGCATAATTGAAAATTTGTTGTTTAACTTTTTTTAAAAAATTTTTTTCTGATGTTCCTTTTCTTAATGTTCCAAGGCAATTTCTTGTACTATTTCCAGGAGGGTTATGTTAGCTATTCTTTTAGGTTAGATTTGTAGTGGAAAGTTCTTTTAGTTTTCCTTCATCTGAGAATGTCATGACTTCCCCTCCTTTCTTGATAGATATTTATATTAGAGTCAGTATCTTGGGTTGACAGTTCTTTTTCTTACAATACTGAAAATGTCATGCCACTTCTTTTGAGTGCCATAATTTCTTAGGAGAAATCTGCTGTTACTTGGATTGTATTATCTGTTCCTTTTCTCAAGATTTGTTTATCTTTGATTTTCAGATATTATGGTGTGTCTAGTATAATATTTTTTACAATAAAACTTTTATACCAAATATGAATCTCTCTGGGTTTATTTTGTTGGAGATTTGTTTAGCTTTTAAAATCTGTAGGTTTATATCTCTTGTTAAATTAGAAAAGTTTTCAGCCAAATTTTTTGAAGTATCTTGCCAGCCCTACTTTCTTTTTCTTTTACTCCAATGACATAAATTTTTGAACTTTTGTTTTATCTCTATTGGTTCCTGAGGCCTGAGTCTTTTCTTTTTATTGTTTATACTGTTCAGTTTGTCTTTTTTTTTTTTTTTTAAAATCTTCCAACTCACTGATTCTTTTATTTATCTCCCCTTTGCTCTTAAGCTTGTCCAGCAGGTTTTTAAATTTCAGTTACTGCATTTTTTGAGTTCTAAACTTTTTGCTTCTTGTCCACTATCATCACTTCTGTTCAACATAGTACTTGAAATGCCAGAACAATCAGGCAAGAGAAAGAAATAAGGGGGATACATATAGGAAAGAAAGAATCCTAATTATTGTTTGTAATGACATGATACTCTACATAAAAGACCCGAAGTACTCCACTGAATAAAACTCTTCCACAACATAGCAGGATAAAAGATCAGCATAGAAAAATCATTAACATTTGTGTGCTCCAATAATGAACTCAATGAGAAGAAAATCATAAAAACAACACTATTCCCAGTAGCTTCAAAATAAAATGAAATACCTCGGAATCAACTAACAAGGAAGTGAGAGATCTCTATAAAGAAAATTAGAACTCTGAAAAAGGAGATTGAAGAGCATATTAGAAAATGGAAAGGTGTCCCCTGCTCCTTGATAGGCAGAACCAATATTGTCAAAATGACCATATACTCAGAACTGTTAGACAGATTAATTGCATTCCCAATCAAAATAAGAGCAGCAGGGCCAGCAAGATAGCTCAGTAGAGTAAATGCCTGCCTGGAAAAATAACAGCAGCATATTTTACAGATCTAGAAAAAATAATCCCAAAATTTATATATAACCAAAAGAGACCCAGAGTGACAAAAGCAATCTTGGGCAACAAGAAGAAAGCAGGAGGGTTTACAATATCTGATGTCAAATTATCTTTTTTTAAACTAAGGCATACCAGATTTGTTTGCTCATTGCTTTAGAATTCTTATCAAATAATTTTAGTATCTCTGTCATCTTCTTGTTAGGGTCTGTTGATTGGCTTTTCCTCCATTTAAGTTGTAATTTTCCTAGTTTTGGTATGATGAGAAACAGTTGAAATCTGTACAGTGTATTATGTTACAAGGCTCTGGATCCCCTCTCTCCCTCCTTCCCCATTCTTTCTGTCCTTTCTTTCTCTGTTTTTCCCCTTCTTTCCTTCCTTTCTTTCTCCCTCTTTCTTTTGTACTTGGGATAGTACACATTGTCTCACACACACTAGGAGACCAGTCTAACACTTAGCTACACCCACAACCCGTTATTTAAATGTTTGATTATAACAAACCTGTCTTACGCTACTCCAGTGAAAGTAGAGGGTTGCCATTTTATTCATGCTAGCTGAAGTTAGAAGACCATTTTCTGTACTTGGGCTGCTTTGAATTGCAGGGTGAGTGAGGCCTTGTTACTGTTTGATGTGGATGCAAAGTCAGGTTTTCCTAATGTCTTCAACTGGTACTACATTGGGTGAGAGGTGGCCTCATAATAGCTGATTGGTGGTGACAATTTCGATCCTTCACTCACCTGCTTGTGACCCCATTCCAAGAAGGAGAATGGAGCTCCTTATTATTTCCTGATAAGGTTGTAAATATGAGCTCCCATGTGCCACTTTCCTCTTGGGATGGGTACTTTTTATAGTATGTTTTATAGATGAGAGCCCTAGCTTGGTATTCCATCTTATTTGATGCCATCTCAGTAGTAAACCTAGACAGCTTCATGAAGCTGGCAGTTCAGGTTCTTCACTTGGCATTTGGAGTCATACTTTTTTTCTGTGATGTTTGGAGTAGAATGATTATTGTATGAAATTTTCTAGTTCTTTTCCTTGAAAAGCAGGCCCTTTTAAAGTTTGTACTAGCTTCTGTAGTACCCAGTCGGGGATAAGTCAAGTAAAAACAAAACACATGGAAGGCACAGCCATATCTTGAACTCCACCATCTCTAGCCACTCTTTTGCCTTCTATTCATATTTCAGACTGTTTGTAGGTTGTTCAGATATAAGAGTGAACACAACAAAATTATTTTCTTTTGAACATGCCCATGAAGTTAACAAGGTATGTAATTCTCTTGGTCCCCAGTTGGTCTATTGTTGATCTTCCACGTCTGTTAAAGCTAGTTGTATATCCCTTATCTGAAATGCTTGGGGCCGGAAGGGTTTCAGATTTCAGAATGTTTTAGGATTTTTGGAATATTTGCATAGACCATAGACTACCAGTTGAACTTCCCTAGTCTGAAAATCAGAATTCTAAAATGTTTCAAAATCTGAAACTTTTTTAGTGTCATACTGGCTAAGTCTTCTACCTATTCCACTTTGATCATGTTATTGATGATTATTTTTGTTTGACTAATATTTCATTGCCACTAAATTCTCCTTTGCCATCAGATTCTCCATTTCCTCTTTTTCTGGCAACTACTTTTTAAAACCGAGCTTATTAATAATTTATACCTGTATATATTTACTTTCCCCCACTCATTTCCCCCACTCATTTCATTTCTGAACTGTACTATAAGATTATTTAGTAAAGGCTTTTTACATTATGCTTTTTCTCCTATAATTAAAATATAGGCATCTTATCCTAAGCATTTATTATCTTTACCTCACTGTTGCCTGTATTGAAACTCACAGAACTCGATTTCTCTAAGTGACATTCCTGTCTTGGACAGGATAAGTGTTTCTGCTGTATTCAGCATACATCCTCCATGTTGTGTCTTTATTCATATGCTTCATCCTAAACAACCTATTCCTTCTTTATGAGGCACTGTGACTACCGTATCCATTCTTCTGTTTGTTTATTTTTTTGTTTGGCAGGTGGTAGTGGTACTGGAAATTGAACCCAGGACTTCACACATGCTAAGTTTACAGCCTAACACTGAAATATACCTTTGGTATAGTCTTCTGTCTGTACATCTCTTTAACGTGTAGGTTGTACCAGACGAATGTAACGTTTGTCATACAGTAATTTTAAAATATATATTTATCTTTTATTCCTTATGTTAGATTGTAAATTTGTTAAGGGTGAAGAACATAACTTCTTTGTGGGTTTTTTCCCCCTTTGTTTTGTTTTGATTTTGACTTTTTTTTTCCAGTACTGTTTCTCAAAAGGTTTCAGAGTAGGAGAGGGTTACCTTGCATCTTGCTCTGCTAGTATGTCTAGAACTGTCTTTGTGGTTGTATCACAAGTACCACTCTTCCAACTTAGCACAAAAAGAAGAAATCATGGATGGATGCAGAATGTTTTACAGCCAAGACTAGGAAATAAAACAATACTTGAACTCACATTCCACTGGTGAGAACTTAGTCATTTAATCACAACCAGCTGAAAGGGAAGCTGAGAAATGTAGGATCTGGCCGAACAGCTATAGGTCTGGCCACAACTTAATTTTGGTGAATGCCCAGGAGTCTCAATCACTGATTTGTTAATGGGACTTAATTTATCTGTTTTACTGTTTCTGTAACTATTTACCAGACTCTGGCAAAATTCTTAACCCAGTTTCTATAAATGTTTACTCTTTTACAGCTTCTAAATGTCTATAATTTCATCAACATGTTTTTTCTGGATGTATATTTTTCTGTGCTGTTGATCTTTATTAAAATAAATATGTTGCTTTTACCTGAAAAGCTTACTGGCATATAATTATGAAAAATAAATTTTGAAGCTGCATTGGTGCCTCAAAATAAATTTGTCTATACTAAATTACATTTATAACTTGCTCCTCTATTTTCTCTCATGCTTTTCTCTCCCAGCAAAAATTCAAGTCTATTTGTATGATTTTCTTTTATCACAGTTTATAATAATAATATTATAGAGAACTTAGCCATTTTAGTTAGAATGGTATAAAAAAGTGACAAGTTGTTTTCAAATATAGTATGAAACTAAGGCACTAGTTATCTGAAAATATTTTTCTGTCTTTATTTGAAATAAGTTATTTGAGACACAACAAAATAGAAGGTATATAAAGGAACTAATAAAATTAGTTGCCTTGAAAAAAAAAAAAAGGCAGGCTAGATAGCTCAGCAGATTAAAGCACCTGCCTAGGCAGATGCAAGGACTGAGGTTCAATCCCGGTCGTTCTGTGCTGGCCCCACCTCCTGGGTGCCCTGAGACAGTGATTGAGACTGGGTATGGTGGCACACACCTATAATCCCAGGACTATAAAACAGGAGTATCACTACGAGTCCGATCTGTGTAATGAAACCCTGTAAACCCTGTACTAAATACATAAAAAACAAAAGAAAAAATTAGTTGCCTTCCTTTTGACCACTGATCTTTAGTTGTCAGTTTATAAAGATTAAATTCTGTATCCATGGCAAAATACATTATTTTTATTTGTAATATAATTACCACTTTTTTTAGTGTGTAATATAATTAGCACTGTTTTTAAAAAATCTATTATTTTCACTACCTAGTGTATACTTCCTTTATATAGTTGTATGTTTAAGGTAATGTAGTATTATTAACAGAGTTATATTTTTATGTGTTAGGTTTTCTAAAGCAGCCAGTGCATTCTGTTTTCTTAACCAAACTGGTTAGCATTTACTGTTGCTTTTGTACTTGTTACCTGTAATTCAGAAAAATCTTTTGACTTTGTACCGTTGATTTTACTTTTTTTAGCATCCTTTTATCAAGAATGCAAAACCTGTATCAATATTAAGAGACTTAATCACAGAAGCTATGGAGATCAAAGCTAAAAGACATGAAGAACAGCAGCGAGAATTAGAAGAGGAAGAAGAAAATTCGGTTTGTAATTCTCAAAAAGTCAATTTTTTATCTTGGTCTTTTAAAAAAATTTTGTTTTGATAAAATATATTAATAGTACTTTTTATTACACAAATAAGGTATGTTTCTTCATTAAATCTCTAAAAATATATATTGCTTGTGAAAATAATTGTTACTTTTTCCTAATGTCTGAAGAACTTGTGATTAGTGAGGAGCAAACATGATGATGAAAACATGTAATCTTAACACTTGAGAGGCTGAGGTAGGCGGGTCAGTTGAGCTAGGAGTTCAAGACCAGCCTGGGGAACATAGTGAGACAAGGAATGGGAGTGGGAGTTAATGATGAGTGATATCTTTTTGAACTTTTTTTAACTGGTCACCAACTATGCTATGAAAAATGACAAAATAACAACGCTTAATGACTATATGGAGAAATTGGAGCTTTTGTTCCTTCTTAGGGGAGTGTAAAATGGTACAACATTTTTGGAAAACATTTTAATGGTATCCTGAAAATTTACACATAAATTTAGAATGTGATTCACCAATTCCATTCTTGGATACATACAGATGGTACTCAGTTTATGATGATTCAACCTAATGATTTTTTTACCTTTACTACAGTAGAAAAAAGTACCAATAGTTCGTCTAGCTTTTCACTGTCAGTATAATACTCATTGAATTATCTATGATATAATAAAGTATTATAAAATTCTCTGTGATTTTTGCCTACCTATCAGTTAATATAAATGTTTCAGGCACTTGAAAACTAGGCAAAACTGAGCTGTGAGATTCAGTTGGTTCAGTGTGTTAAAAGCCTACATTTATACTGAGAATATTTAGTTGATATATTTTGAAGGAAGGACTGTGAAAATGTTTTGGACATATTTAAAAATTATGTTTTTATTCTTTGAATAAGTATTTGTTTTGTCCTATGGAGTAAAGCTATTATTTCTAAGTAAGAATATTGTGTTGTTTGTTATTTTTAACTGAAATTATAAGAAAAAAATTAAAGTCTTAGCAGAGTCACACAATGAACAGTATTCATACACTTTGGACCACATTCTTAGACAGCAGCTTTCATCTTGATATTGTTTCATGATTTGTTGTTCTCAATATCGAATACATGTATACATACACGAGCTTGAATGAGAACAATGAAATATCTGGAATAGCTCTGAAGTACCTGTGTCTATAGTAGAAGAGACTATCGTATAATGCCTTTCATTTAAAAAGCAGACTTTTAAGTCAGTAGTCATTTTTTCTCAGGATTATTTAACCACATTGAAACCTCAAAAGTTTACAGAGTTTATACTGTTCATTATTTAGAGATTCTTTTGCAAATTTACCTAAATTGGATTCATATGGAGTTATCATAGTTTAGTATCAGAATGTCCCAAGAACTCTCATGTGTTTAGAGGTGGGGCTTTTGGATAGTTATTAGATCATAGGGCGGGGAGTCGGTATTTATTAGTGGATTGATCCATTTATTGAGTTCATAATTAAACATGCTGTGAGAAGGATGGGACATAGTAGAAAAGGTGAGGTATGTCACAGGAGAGGTACCTTGGAGGACATTATCTCCTTGCCTTTTCTCCCTGTTCCTGGCTTCCATGGGTTCAGCAGCTTTCCTTCACCAACAGCTTCTACCACACTGTGTTTGCCTTGGAGCCAGATTACCATGGACTAGTGTCCTAAAGCTGTATATCAAATGAAACTTCCCTTCATTTATGGTGTGGATATTAGTTGTCTTGTCCTAGCAAAAGAAAAGTGGCTAATGCAATAATTTTAAAATAAAGTAGCAAATTTATTATAGGACCAAACATTAGAAAATCAATTTATGTCTTTAAATATCATAATTTGGACAGACTTACACTTTGACTAAGTCAGCACAAAATTTGACATAAAAATGAAAGGTATAAAGGGATTTTCTTGTTCTCTTTTATATTATTCTGATTTATCTGTAGCATTCAGGATGTAATCATGCAATTTGGTAATTTATTATGTTATAAGCAGCATTCACTCTCATGTAATATCTAATTAGCTGGTGATTTTTAGGACAATGTTAATTTTCTAGCATACTATATTAAGATGCTATACAGGCATTTGAATGTTTAAATAATTTACACAGTAAAAGGGTTAGTCCTTGCTGTTTTCAATAAAATAACAAGGCAAACACCCTACACATGGCACAATGTGTGATTATTTAATAGTGGAATGGATGTTCTTAAATCAACTTTATATGATAAGGCACAGAATGCACCATTGACATGCAGTAGTTTTTAAAGTAGATTAAAAGATTGATCAAGAGTTTATAGGACTTGCTTCGTCACTGTAGCTCAGACATTTCCTATATGGATCACAGTGTTAAGTGAAATACAGGGAGTCAGATGCCTGTAGAATCTTAAATGAAATGCTAAACAAAACCTAGAACACTTCTTAATGTTAGGTTGTATGAGACCCTTTCACTTTTATGCATGTACCAGGCCTTTTAGTTTTACTTTTTTTTGTTTGTTTGTTTTAGTTTTACTTTTATATAAAGCAAGACGTTATTTATCTTCATATTAAGTTGGTAATAACTCAGAAAAGAGTTTTGCTTGTTGTTTTTAAGACTACCTGAGAGCTTCTATATTTGGAAAAGAAATGGGAACTTTCTGTTGACTCCTTTATGGTCTACACTTTAAACTTTACAGGTTGTGGTTTTTAATGGCTGAAGAATAACATTTCTCTTTTAAATTTGATTTCTTGACTCAATTCTCTGCTTGGTGTGGGTAGAAACATTAGGTGCCACTCCATGTCCTCTACAGATAGAGCCTGCCAGATGAATATTTCTCAAAACCTTTCCCCTTTTCTCTTACTTCTATTGAATAGGAACTTCAAATCAGTCTATTCTTCAAGAGCCTTTTGAATTAGATAAAGAACAGAACATAGCAGAATCAACCCAAGTCAGTCCAGAAACTTCTGATGTACTAGCTTGTTAAAGAAGATGTAGAATTGTTGAAGAGCAGAACAGACTGCTGATTCTACTTCCAAATGTCTCTTAGATCCATGGGCAAGTTGCTTAAGCTGTCTTCAGTTTCCTTATCTGTAAATAGAATTGTTATGGAGATACAGTTGAAATTTTAAAATATATATCTTAGCATGGGAGGCATGTTTTGCACATAGTATATGCTAAGTGTAGCTTTTGTTTCTATTAATAGTGCTATGTTACTTTAACATTTTGACAAGGTATTTCAGATTTTGGTTTCTGTGATGGCACTTGTTGCTTCTGCTTATATTGCTGTCTATTAAAACAATGACACTGATTACACTTGAACCAGTATAAACTCAAAATTTCTTATTAAGCATTTATTTTCATTAAAAAATATTTTAGTGCATATTTGTAGTACACAGTGATCACAGTCCTCATAGGGAGTTGGTACATGTATATAACACGTACTCTTTTTTTTATCACCTTCCCTATTTCTCCCTCCCCACTTTGTCCATCTTTTGGTCCCTTACCCATTTGCAAAAGATCTGTTTCCTTATTTCTTATTATCTGTATTTTATTTTGCTCTTGATTTATATTATGGGTTTTTCATATAAGAGAAACCATGCAGTATTTAAGCTACTTAATCTGATTTATTTTACTTAAAATTATGGTCAAGATATATCAATTTTCCTATAGGTGATTCAAGTTTATTGATTGGTAGACCTATAGGCCACTTGCAAGATTTAGCTGTTGTGAATTGTACTGCTATAAACATAGGTATGCATGTATCTCTGTAATATAACGTCTTTAACACTTTGGGGAAAATACCTAGAGGGGGAAATGGGGTCAAATTGAATTTCTAGTTTGGGTTTGTGAGAAATCTCTCTACTGATGTCCATTGTGGTTGTACTAGTTTACATTACACTAACAATGCACAAATGGTATGTTTCCCCCAAGCAGTGTCATCAGCACTTGTTCTTTGATTTCTTACTGATGCCATTATTTTATGCAATAAGATGGAATCTCAGTGTTGTTTTAATTTGCATTTCTCTAATGGCCAGAGATGGTGAACGTTTTTTCATTTATTTTTTGACCATTTGTATTTCTTCTTTTTAGAAGTGTCTGTTCATTTCAGTTGCCCATTAGGTTTCTTTTTTTTTTTTTTTTAATGGGGGGCAGGGTGGTGGTGGTAATTTCTTTGAGTTCTTAATGTATTCTCAGTGTGCTTTGTGTGAGAAACAGCTGGCAACGTTTTTATCATTCTGTAAGTTACTTCTTCACTCTATTGTTGGTTGTTTCCTTTGCTATGCAGAAGCTTTTTAACTTGGCATGATTCCATTTGTTGATTCTTAATATGATTTGTGAAATTGGTGTTCTGTTCAGAAAGTCCTTGCCTGTGCCTATGTCTTTAATAGCTTTCCCTGTTTTATCTTTCAGCAGATTAGGTATTATTGCTTTAACATCTAGTTCTTTTATCCATTTTAATTTACTGTATGTTGAAAGATGGAGTTCTGGATTCAGTCTTCTGCATGTGGATAGCCATTGTCCTAGCAATATTTGTTAAAGATGCTGTCTTTCCTCCAGCATAAGTTTTTGGCTCCTTGGTCAAAATAAGGTAAATTGTTGTATTTCTCCTATGGTGGTAAACCTATAAGAGTTATCAATAACAAACAACTGGTGGCAGCATGTATGCTATAGGTTCACCACAACTATTCTGATGATCCACGTGCCTGTTTTTATGCTCATACCATGCTGTTTTATCACTGTAGCTTAGTAGTATATCTTGAAATTCTTTTAAGCATTTAAAAACAAAACTTAAATAACCAAATACGTTTGGAAGAATTAATGTAACTTCAACTGAAAAAATACTTTAAGAAAATTTATTTCCAATCCTTTACTTCTTAGACTTAGTAGCAAGTATTTATATTTGTGATAAATTATTGATAACAAATTAAAATCTGTTAAAAGATTTTTGATTGCTTGTTATTGCTTATTTTTCTGGGTAATTACATTATACCATAAAAAATTCCTCCTTGGTGTTTGCATTACGACT